CTCTCTCTCTCTCTCTCTGTATATATATATATATATATATATATATATATATATATATATATATATATATATATATATATATATATATATATATATATATATATATATATATATATATATATATATATATATATATATATATATATATATATATAATAAAATATAAATAAATAAATAAATCAATAAATCAATCAATAAATAAATAAATAAATCAATAAATAAGGTGCATCCTGCAGAATTAAACTCATCGAGTGAGTTTTATAGGTGCCAACTAGCAGACAAAAAGTGCGATGAAAGCAAATCGGCTTCATCGTCTCATTAAGATAATGCAGAAGTGCATTTGAAGTTGACGGTAAACTCTTAAAAGGGACTAGAGCATAGGGATGAGCCCTTCTGAATGGAATGCAGTGAGAAAGCTGCTTCTGTCAGATGTTTATCAGCAGATGAAGATTGCAATCAAACACTGACAGACACGATATTAAATTTCTTAAAAATCTTTTTTTAAATATTTCCTAAATGATGTTTACCAGATTCAGGAAATTTTCACAGTATGTCTGAAAATATTTTTTCTTTGATAGAAAGTCTTATTTGTTTTATTTCGGCTAGAATAAAAGCAGTTTTACATTTTTTAAAAGCTGTTTTAAAGTCAATATTATTAGCCCCATTTAAGATAATGAAAGTGAAAGAAAGTGCTTGAAATGTGTATTTTTATTCGCTGTTTGACGTAATCTTAAATAAAACATGAAGAGAGGGTGGGGCGTAATGTAACTCCTCCCCTTAAAAACAGTGTTTTTAGATAGTTTTTCAGAAAGTGTTTAGTTTTTCTCACAGTTTTGCAAGTGAGAGTGGTTGAGCTCAAGCACATCAAACAAACAGCCAATGAGAAGAAGGGGGTGGGGCATGTCAGATACTAGAGAGCATTTCGTCTACACCTAAATATTTTGGGGCACACTAGATATCCTAACATATATTAACATCTAAATAACTCTATTTTAATTCCACCAGACTTTTAAATTTGATATTGGAAAAGGTGTAAGAACACTAGAAAGTCAATAGAGCTGATTGGATTGTTTTGTTTTTCTGAGTGTGGCTTAAAGGTTCACGAAACCCTTGAGTACTTTTTTTGAGATCAAGTTAAGACAATGTCAGCACCTGTCAGCTTTAATTGTGTGAAAACTGGGTAATTCAGAGTTTTTGTCAGCTGATTTCAGCTTCCGGGTTTAAAATGATTTATGGGGCGGATAAAAATCGGTGACATAGCGCAAAACTGCAAGTGCAAAGATGAGGCGTCGGTTTCTCATTATTATTCATAGCTGAGTTTATTTATCCTATGAGAAGGGCCGGCTTCTTAATTATTCATGACTGCGCGTGCTTTCCGAAGGCAAGACAGACCTGCAAGTGCCAAGCTGTGAGATCCTACGTTGATGATTGGGTGAGGCCACGTCAATGGACTCATGGCACACAGTATTTAGCCGCTCATAAAGGGTCGTATGTGTTTGTTTTCATGATCCACGGGGTTTGTTGCATGTTTTTCCCCGCGATGCTGTCAGGGCCGATCATACAGCAAAGCTGATTGTGTCCAGCAAGCATTTTTGTCAGGAGAGCAGTACGAGAATTGGAGAATGGCGGACGTTGTCTTTTATCAGGAGTTCGTTCACATTTAGACACATCGCCGTGCTGCTGTGTTAGCCTAAATCCTCCAGATTACCAGCAGGGCTAATGGGTAAAATAGACAGGGCAAGGGATCTGCTGCACTGAGTCTCCATTCAGACCCGGGGATTGAGGGGAAAAGTCCTCATTTATAGTGTTTATATGAACACCATTATCTTTATAATGAAATAAATTGTGGTTGTGTGTATATGAAATTACGAATAACATTTGTAGCAGGGCATTAAATTACTTACTGTTTATTTCTTTGCTTTTTAACTTTGTAAACTATAAAATCATGGGTCTCCTCATGGTTTGTGTCTCATTTTGTGAGCCGACTGACAACAGTTGCTCGCTCCCCTTCTTCTCCCGTGCTCTGCTGGCCACGCCCACTCCTACTCCTTGCTCACGGAGCTCCACCCCCATTATGATGCATCTTTTGAAAAAATTCTAAGGTGGACCTGAACCAAAAGTGGGGGGTGTCATGACCCTTTAAATCCCTATAATGTCTCCATATGCACCTGACAAAAGTCTTGTGACCTATCAGTGATGTAGGAGCAGCCAATATTAACTGCTGTTCTAGTTGTTGATTTGGTGTCAGAAGTGTCTCTATGAAAGGTGAAGGCCTCTAGATTTTGCTGATTTGAGCTCAATAAATCTGATCATGTCTTGATGTTGACTGATTTGATGAGGACAGTGCGGTCTGACTCTGCTCAGACTAAAGTGTCATCACTGAACAGAAATAATGTCCAGTATAGAATATAAAGTCCTGCTGCAGTGGAGACAGAATGAATATTGTGTCTGACTCCATCATGAGCTTGGAGGACTGCATCCATACATCTCTGACATGACTCACATCACTGATTAATAAAGTCATCTGGAATGAAGAAGAAAGCCTTCAGCAGGATCCCAGAGTTCATCAAGAGTCTCTGTGTTCATCTTCAACGCCTCCTCCTTCATCAGCTTAATAATGTTCATGTCTGGTGACTGGACTGGCCAATCATTGAGAAGCTTGAGCTTCAGGAGCTTTGATGTGGAGGCTGAAGTATGAGCAGGAGCGCTATCCTGCTGGAGAATTGTCCCTCTCCTGTGGTTTGTAATGTAATGGGCAGCACAGATGTCTTGATACCTCAGGCTGTTGATGTTGCAGATCTCTCGCACACCCCCATACTGAATGACCCCAAACCATGATGTCTCCTTCACCAAACTTGACTGATTTCTGTGAGAATCTTGTGTCCATGCTGGTTCCAGTAGGTCTTCTGCAGTATTGGTGATGATTGGGATGCAGATCAGCAGATGATCCAGCAGAGAAATTCACCTTCAGACACTTTCACACATCATCAACTAGAAGACCAGTTATTATTTTTTGCTCCCAGAACCAGGTTCGAAGACAAGGCTTCCATCAGGTAGTGTAGTCACGGTATATAACTGCAGATTCCACAACATAAAGATTTTTCATGACTCCTAATTGTATTTTTGGCTTAAATAAAACAGATACCTGTACACCATGTCTTCCACGTCTTTAATGATGTCTTGGATCCAGCTTCTGGCTATCTCCAGGTGTTTCACAGCCACACTGGGTTCATTATTCTCAACAGCGTGCATCATCATTGGGAACAGAGACGTGACCAGGTTATTACTGGTGCTGCCACACTGCAGGAAAACAGCATTCATGCGTTTATATAGTACATAACGTCAAATCACACTGAAGAAATTGCTGTAAACACATTGAAAACTATGATAAAGGTAGATCCAGCAGTTGCTAACCTACATGGGCATCTAATATGTGGCAATATATGCAAATTACATATACAGTTGAAGCCAAAATTATTCGCCCTCCTGTGAGTTTAATTCATATATTTCCTAAATGATGTTGAACAGATTGAGAAATTGTTCACAGTAAGTCTGATAATATTTGTTCTTCTGGAGAAACTCTGATTTGTTTTATTTCAGCTAGAATAAAAGCAGTTTTTAATTGTTTTAAAGCCATTTTAAGCTCAATATTTTTCGCCCCTTCAGCAATATTAGTGTTGGATTGTCTCCAGAACAAACCACTGTTATACAATCACTTGCCTAATTACTCTAACTTTACCCTAATTACCCTAGTGAAGCCTTTACATGTAACTTTAAGCTGAACACTAGTGTCTTGAAGAATATCTATACTAATATTATGTGCTGTCATCATGGCAAAGAGAAAATAAATCAGTTATTAGAGATGAGTTATTAAAACTGTTATGATTAGAAACAATTTTGCCAATAATTTTACTTCCGCTGTATATAATGCAGTGTAAAACAAAGCTTTTAAATCAGGACAGGACTCATGATTTGTTGATTGTAATGTAATGATGAGCTGTGTACCTTCACCAGAATGTCCGCAGAAGATTCAAACAGTATCTGAGTCTCTAGAATCTTTTCTCTGATCAGATCCTCTAGTTTAGGAAATCCACCCAAACTAAGATACGACAGATGATAGAGAAGACCTGTTCGCTCCGCAGATAGAATAAGATCCTCAAAGAACATTGGGTTCCCATTGAGGCTGAGCTCTGAAAGCAAATATGAGATTTAAAACTCAGTTATGAGTGACATGTCTAAGTCAGGGATGCCCAAACTCAGTCCTGGAGGGCCGGTGTCCTGCATGTTTCAGTTCCAACCCCAATTAAACACACCTAAAGCAGCTAATTAAGCTCTTTCTAGGTATACAAAAACTTCCTGGAAGGTGTGTTGAAGTAAGTTGGAGCTAAACTATGCAGGACACCGGCCCTCCAGGACCGAGTTCGGACACCCCTGGTTTAAGTTATAACATCTGCAAGCCTTTACTATTGTACAAATCTGCTTAAAATAATAGCAGTGCATTTAAAAGAGAAAGTGAAAGTACAAAACTATTTCAGAATACACCAATGAACATGCATTTAATGACACATGATGTATTACATGAGATTTTAGTGATGCATTTCTGTGTGCAGGGGTGAGGCAGTGGCGCAGTAGATACTGCTGTTGCCTCAAAGCAAGAAGGTCGCTGGTTCGAACCTCGGCTCAGTTGGCGTTTTTGTGTGGAGTTTGCATGTCCTCCCTGCCTTCGCGTGGGTTTCCTCCGGGTGCTAAAGTAGGCTAAATTGTCTGGAGTGTGTGTGTGGATGTTTCCCAGAGATGGGTTGTGGCTGCAAGGGCATCCACTGCATAAAAACTTGCTGGATAAGTTGGCGGTTCATTCCGCTGTGGCGACCCCGGATTAATAAAGGGACTAAGCCGACAAGAAAATGAATGAATGAATTTCTGTGTGCATAGGTCAGTTTGTATTTTCAGCTACAATGCAGTGCTTTTACAAATGACGTTGCTCATAGATCAAATCATTTTTGCGGGGTTATAAACCTAAATTAATGAATGCATTAAATTAAAACTCAAATTTGACCTTTATTCATTCTAATGTAGTTTTTCTAAATGACATGTCTTCATTGTACGTTTGTCTGGCAAATATCTTTCAAAGGCTTTTACTGTTTATTTTTGTGATCATTTAATCATCAGTGTTAGTACTATAGTTGTAACATAGGAGCACGGCCGGATTAAGAACATATTGGATCCAGGGGCTATACCCAAGGAAGGATCTCATTTATTTTATTGCCTCTTTATTTATATTTAATTATTATTAATGTTTTCTGTTAAAGTAGGCATACCAGCATGCAAAATTAATTCTTACTTTTAAAAAGGTAAAAAGCCTGCCAATATCAGAATATCACAGTGCTTTACACTCTCAGAAATAAAGGTAGGCGAGTTGTCACAGGGGTGGTATCTTTTCAAAAGATACACATTTGTTTATGGTTTCCGAACACAGGCCTGTGATCATTAAAGACACAGTGATACATCTTACAAATACCTGGGGTTCTATATGGACAGTGTTTTTTGTTGGAGAGCATGCTTTATTTTTTAAGAAGACTGAGATTGTATTTGGTGGGTAGTTGGAACTTTATTTTTCATTTATTTATTTATTTTTTATTTTCCCTCGATCATTTTCTTGTCAGCTTAGTCCATTTATTAATCTGGGGTCGCCACAGCGGAATGAACCGCCAACTTATCCAGCAAGTTTTTACGCAGCGGATGCTGCAACTTATCTCTGGGAAACACCCACACACATTCAAGACAATTTAGCCAACCCAATTCACCAATTCACCTTTGGACTGTGGAGGAAATCGGAGCACATGCAAACTCCACACAGAAACGCCAACTGACCCAGCCGAGGTTCGAACCAGCAACTCAGCGACCTTCTTGCTGTGAGGCGAACGTGCTACCCACTGCGCCACTGCCCCTTTCACTTATTTGTTAAATGATTAACTTATTTGCTACTACTGTTCATGATCCACTTTTGTGGTACATTTGGACTATAACCCAAGGTACGACATTTGTAAAACTTTTCTCGTATTGTATTTCTGGAGGCACATTGTATGATATTTTTAAACTAACATGTCAAAAAAGAAAAATCATTAGCAGGTTTATCAACAAACCCGGGGTTGCTGTTTTATTTTTAGCACCAAATGTTTTTTTTATCTCAATATGCATTGAACATTAGCGCACAATATTTGTAGCTTATGATGCTTTGCGCCGGATAGCCAGTGGAAAAAAGAGCTTCAAGACGAAATGATCATTTCCTTTATAGTCAGCCTCCTTAAGCGTCACAAGAATTACAGTTCAAAAACACAAAATAAAAGTAAACAATATTTAAAAGTAGAGCATTTTGAGGGGAGAGCAGCGCACACACTCCTTTCTCCCTCTTCTCACACACGCAGACTGACTCCCGTAGCGCACACACTGGAGTGTTGTGGTGCAGCTCTTAAAGGGCAACAGACATACATTATGTGATACATGCACATTGAAGTGGACGTTACAAGCTATCCTGCAAACATGTTAAAAGTGCAATGTTAAGAACATTTGAGTTCATAAAAAAAGTCTCTTACCTTTGCTGTTAGCCATAGTTTACACTGGTAATGCCTCCAACTTTAAGATTTCACTCTAATAATAATAATAAAAACAAATTTGTCAAGAGATGTGAAGTAGAATCAGCAGACAATTACAGAAAGAAATATGTTGACTGATGACTATTATTTTACATATTCATATACTCATATCTTATATCTGACATGTAGTGCATTAAATCAGCAAGTTAAACCGTACTCTGATAACAGAACTCTGGGTTCAGAAATTCTCCCAAAAAATCGTCAAGGAAGGTCAAATGAATGGCAGCTATACGGCTGCCAAACAAAAAACATAAAATTACGGTAAAATTTCTTTGTTAAAATAAAGTGCAAAAAAATAATAAATCCACAGATATTTTCATTCAAATGTTTACAGAGAAACACTGTTATTTTACAGACTTTTCCTACATTATTACCATCAAATCCATTTAATAAATAACACACTAAGAGCGCTCACATGCACCTGTTCCAGATTCCGCTGATTGCGCACACACACACACACACACACACACACACACACACACACACACACGCGCACGCGCACGCACGCACGCACGCACGCACGCACACACACACACACACACACACACACACACACACACACACACACACACACACACACACACACACTCAGAGGATCGTTATGAACTGATTACAAAAAAGTTTCTAATTGGCTATTATACAACATTTGAGTTAATGTGAGGCACAACTGTAGAATAGTGTTGAAGGAAAAGCTCAGACACACTGCTTCCTTGTGTGACAACATGGAAAAATCAACAAGCCAGAATCAACAACAAAGCCAGATTACCATTAGCTAAATGACACTGGGGAAAGAGTAATGTGTGGAGACATGTCCTGTGCTCTGATGGAGCTAAGATTGAACTGTTTGGCCATAATGAGCAGTGTTACATCTGGAGGACAAAGGGGAAAGCGCACAAGCCTAGAACACCATCCCAACTGTGCAGTATGGGGGCGGCAGCGTCATGTTGTGGGGCTGTTTTGCTGCAGGAGGGACTGGTTCACTTCACAGCAGAGATGGCATCATGAAGAAAGAACATTATGTAGAAATACTGAAGCAACATCTCAACACATCAGCCAGGACATTACAACTTGACCACAAATGACTCTTCCAGACAGACCATGACCCTAAGCACACTGCCAAATGAGTTCAAATGTGCTTTAAGGACAACAGAGTGAATGTTTTGGAGTGGCCATCACAAAGCCCTGATCTCAATCCTATAGAGAATGTGTGGGCAGAGCTGAAAAAGCTTGTGCGAGCAAGACAGCCTACAAATCTGACTCAGTTACAGCAATTCTGTCAGGAGGAATGGGCCAAAACTCCTGCAAACCATCGTGAGAAGCTTGTGGGAGGAGACCCAAAACATTTGACCAAAGTTATACAGTTTAAAAGCCAAGCTAAAAATACCAAGAAAATGTGTGTAAACTTTTGACTGTCTAAAAATTACCCAAAAATTCTCTTATTATTCTGGAATTTAGCAAATGTAAATCATTTAGGTAATCCTAACAGACCTAAAATAGTAAACATTTATTATGATTTACCATCAGACATTAAAAAAAAAATGGTTATGATCCTTATTTTAGTGTATGTAAACTTCTGGTTTCAACCGTATCATATTTATTTTCCCATAATGTCAGCATTGTGCAGTCTGACTTGTACAATAAGCTTACCAATGGTTAGTTTCAGAATTATTAAAAATATATAAATCAAATCTTTGGAAATGAAAGACAATAGTATAATAAATTTAATAGAATCAAAAAAGTAATATCACAGCCAAAAAGTTATTAATTATCTTGAATTGCAATGCACGCTTATTATTATTATGCTCGTTATTTTCTATTCTAAGGCAAACGAGCTCTTCATGGATTCATCTCCAACAATGCAAAAGTTGATCTACTCACATATTCTGTTTCCAGTTTTCAACTGTCCACCTGCAACTACAACTAGCAGATCTATATATATATTGCTGTGAAGATCACGTGGTGCTTAGAAAAAAATCCAGATCTGCAACTTTGAGTAAATCACTGTCTAAAAACCTCAACACACTGATTATTTGTAACCACGTGACTTCCAGCGCATTTAGAGGAAAACTTGTCTGATTGTATAAGTGAAGGGAGTGGTTTTACTCATTATATATACATATATATGGGTGTATTTTTTTGTTGTTGTTTTTAAAATTCAGCTCAAAAGGCGTGTAGAGCCCTGTGAATGACAACCCCACTGTAATTAATATCTTGTGCAACAGTATCATGTTTTATTTTAAGGGTAATAAAGTTCAAACCTACAGTAAGTTGCCTCATGTTTTTTAACCTCATGCGTGCAGAAGGTAAAGGAATGTGAATGGCAAGTCTCAACATCAAGCAACATGAGGTTTCCCACGGTTTAAAAAGTGTTCAAATTTTCTGTTATGCCATTTCTGGGGTATACGCATTTTTAGGGCAACAGTATTCACAGGGGCGGATTGGCCATCTGGCAATTCTGGCAAATGCCAGAAGAGCCGAACCATTTTTTAAATGTGGGCCGGTCCAACACAATCTTGCGGCAATTCGTAACTTTTTCATTCAGTGGCTAATTCGTATGAATTCGTACGATCTAATTCCTACAATTTAGTACGATTTGCGTATCCCCCAATGATGGTTTGGGTTAGGGGTGGGGTCAGGTGCCACGCCTCCTTTTTAAAATCGTACCATTTCGTACGACTGAACTCGTATGAATTTGTACGAATTAGCCACTAAACTGGCAAAACGTAAAATACTTATGTTTTCTCGTGAGATCAGGCTGGCCGGTCAGTAAAAAAAAAAAAAAAAAAATTCTTAATATGTATTGCTTTTACATACAGGCAGCTTTTATCTCTTGCAAGATGTGAATATTATGATGATGATGATGATGATGATGATAATAATAATAATAGTAATAATAATTAAATGTTAAGCATTTGGCCCGATCGGTGACGGCCGGCTGGTTTTGAGAGGGGCTGACCCAATCAAAGGTTACACGGACGTAATCAAAATCTGGCAAGAATGTCAAACAAACAGTAAGTGCAACATAAGATAATTGTCAGAGATGGACCATTAAAAAAAGGAAAGGCGGTGCCGAAAAGCTCAAAGAAAGCAAAAAAAGCACTCTAAAATCAGACGCTGAAATATTCTCGAAAGGTTTAGATTTGTCTGCTGCATCAGAGGACATTAGTGAGGTAGAGGAGGTATGAAAACAGAAAATACACTTGTAAGTCATTATACTAAAATATACTAAGTAGTTTTGACACCATTCACACTACTTCTGACCGTTTTTGACAGTAACATACACTGTGCTTCACAGTAAGCTTAGCGTAAGGGTTTCCAAACTTTTCATCCCGCGACCCTCAAAATAACAATGCCAGTGACTCGCGACCCCCAATATCCTCTAAGGAGGTTATAAATACAGAAACCCTGCATGCAATGGCGCACACACACATATAGACCCAAGTCTATTCTTCGTTTAATGTTTGGTTGTTTGCCATTTTGTTACTTTGCACTTTGGATTTTTTGTCACTTTCTCTGCATTATACATCAATTAAAACTGCACTTTCTACACCCCTGTTTTTGTTCCTGTTCTTGATCACCATAACGTGACATCCTGTACATTTTAAAATGTCACTATCAGCAGATAACGAGGGATTTAGGGTTTACTGACTGCTGTATGCTATTGTACTAGCAATATAGTCTAACATGCAACAGAACCTATAGCTATAGCCATAGTACTGTACGCATTTGTAGTGAACTCTGAATACATAGCTAGTCTCTAAAGTAAACCTTAAATACATGCAGAGGTTACAGTATGCATTTAATCCTTAGGTAGAGGCGCACAGAATAACAACGGGTTGTTTTAGTTCCAGTCACATACATTAAATGTTGAAATATCTATGACATATGCTACTGCTTATATTATTTTACCATCAGCACACCAATATAAGTAGTGAATGTGCGTGTCTGTGGGCGGAGCTGTGTCTGTATGGTAATGTGGGCTGGTGTGGATACAGTGCCAGGGCTGAATTTTTGTCCCAGTCCGCCCCTGGCTATTCAGCAAACATTTGAAAAACAAATCACTCATGCACCAATATCCATGCATGCTACGGTGAACCCTTCAGTGCCTTATTAAAAATGATCAAGTTACAGAAATAAAACTTATGCAAAGTATCCTACATTCATTCATTTTCTTTTCGGCTTAGTCCCTTTATTAATCAGTATTGGGCTATTTGTTAATGTCACCATTCCAAGCTTAACTCGCTGCAGTTTATGTAATGTAATGTAATGTGTCTTTATATAGCGCATTTATTGTGTATGATCATACACCCAAAGCGCTTCACAATCATGAGGGGGGTCTCTCCACACCACCACCAGTGTGCAGCTCCACTTGGATGATGCGACGGCAGCCACAGGACAACGGCGCCAGTGCTTCACCACACACCAGCTATTGGTGGAGTGGAGAGACAGCAATTAAGCCAATTCAGTGGAAGGGGATGATTGGGAGGCCATGATCGTAAGGGCTGATAGAGGGACTTTGGCCAGGACACCGGGGTTACACCCCTGCTCTTTCACCAGAAGTGCCAAGGGATTTCTAATGACCACAGAGAGTCAGGAATCACATGCAATTACAAAAGACATTCAGACTGCCTTGTTCTCGGTCGTGGAGGATCTCAGACTGGCTAAAGCAGACTCTAAATCATCAGTCCTCATTTTGCTGGACTTGTCAGCTGCTTTTGACACTGTCAACCACCAGATCCTGCTATCTTCGCTCGAGTCACTGGGCGTTGCAGGCACGGTTATTCAGTGGTTCAGATCTTACCTCTCTGACAGGTCATTCAGGGTGTCTTGGAGGGGAGAGGTGTCCAGCCTACAGCATCTAAACACTGGGGTACCTCAAGGCTCTGTTCTTGGGCCACTTCTCTTCTTCATCTACACATCATCTCTAGGACCAGTCATCCAGAGACATGGATTTTCCTACCACTGCTATGCTGATGATACCCAGCTATACCTCTCTTTTCACCCTGATGATCCCTCGGTTCCAGCTCGCATCTCAGCCTGCCTGTCAGACATCTCACACTGGATGAGAGATCATCATCTTCAGCTTAACCTCACGAAAACAGAAACACTTGAAGTTTCTGCCAACCCGACTCTACACCATAACTTTTCAATCCAGATGGATGGGGCAACCATTACTGCATCCAAAACGGTGAAAAGGCTTGGAGTAACGATTGATGACCAACTAAACTTCTCTGACCACATCTCTAGAACTGCTCAATCGTGCAGATTCCCACTCTATAACATCAGAAAGGTCCGACCCTTCCTATCTGAACATGCAGCTCAACTCCTTGTTCAAGCTCTTGTTCTCTCCAGACTGGATTACTGCAACTCTCTACTAGCCGGGCTTCCAGCTAACTCTATCAAGCCTCTTCAGCTGCTTCAGAACGCAGCAGCACGAGTTGTCTTCAATGAACCTAATAGAGCACATGTCACTCCGCTGCTCATCCGTTTGCACTGGCTGCCAGTTGCTGCTGGCATCAAATTCAAAGCTCTGATGTTTGCTTACAAAACGACTTCTGGCCTAGCTCCTTCTTATCTGCTCTCACTTCTGCAGATGTATGTGCCCTCCAGAAACTTGCGTTCTGTGAATGAACGTCGCCTCGTGGTTCCATCCCAAAGAGGGAAGAAATCACTTTCCCGAACTCTCGCATTCAATCTGCCCAGTTGGTGGAATGAACTCCCTAACTGCATCAGAACAGCAGAGTCACTCGCTGTCTTCAAGACATGACTAAAAACTCAACTATTTAGTCTCCACTTTCCTTCCTAATCTGCAATTGCCTGTATTACAAAAAAGAAAAAAAATGACTAATGTTTTGCTTCTTACACTTTCTTTACACACCTGAAACTTGCCTACAGCACTTATTCATTGTTGCTCTTATAGTTGTATAAATTGATTCCTTGGCCTCATTTGTAAGTCGCTTTGGATAAAAGCGTCTGCTAAATGACTGTGTAAATGTGAGTTACAACAATGTATTCAACTATATAGTGGTAAAAGACCTCTTGAGTTATTTTTTAGAGTGTGTACAAAGTGGTATTAAAAACAAATCCATATCTTTAAATACTAAATAAATATAAGAGTGCTTATAAAGGGGGAACGTTGATGGTTTTTCACCATCCAGTGTATTAACAATGTTAAAGCTCAAACTTAAAATGCACAAAACCAAGAATGAGTGCACTTCAGTAGTGTTAGGACCACTTTGATTTGAAACCACTTCAAATGTTGACTACTGTGCACCCTATGCATATGATTTATGTTTTCTTTCTGTCTTTTTTTCACCCTCCTCTCGGTTTGTTCAACCCTTAGGTTTCTAATTGGTTTATTATTCTGTCCATCTTCGGTTTTTATTTTGTGTTTCCTTTTGACGCCTAGTTTAGACTTTAGATTTAAGGGTTGTTTTGTTTTGTTAATTTCTTTGATTTGGCTTACACTCGTGTTTTTGTTTAAAGATAATTATTATCAATGTTTATTTCTTTTTTCCCATTTATTATTGTTTCAATGTTTCAATTATTGAGTAAAAAGCTTAAATAAGAGTAACTGATCCTTGCCTCATTCTTGATCTGTTGCACACATTACACCCGTCTCACTTAAATGTTACAGCATCATAAACACGTAACAATGATTATGTGGGCTTAAACCGTTAATCAAGTTGTGACATGAAGAGAAAACATCGTTTGGTTTGCATATAGCTTAAATATTAATGAAAATAAAAAAACTCCACACATTATGCACAACTGGAAAAACTCGTATCTTAATCACGTGGTTCATTTTAAACCTCTATATAATCACAGCTTTCTCTGCAAAACACACTTAGAAGACTGCAATCAAGACAACACAACAGTACACATAAAGAGTAAGTGCACTTAACTTGCTATTTAGATAATATTATAATTATATACACATTATTATGTTATATTTTATATGTTTGGAAATTGCCTATACTTTGATTAGCCTACTTTAATTATTAACAAAAAATATTATTAATTTACAACAATTATCTAAAGCACAACTTGTTAATTTAAGCAAGTTATACTATCTAATATGTTTAGCTAAAGCAAGAGACCCAATGAGCAAATGCAGATCAACATCCATTATATAAAACCCCTTATCTGCAGCAAAATTTATTTCAAATTGTAATATGCAAAATGCCATTGTATTATTTATTTATTTTTCAATTATTTATTTATTTTTTCAATTATTTTTTGTTTAATTATTCATTCATTCATTCATTCATTCATTTATTTATTTTTTAATTATTTATTTATTATTTATTTATTTGTTTATTTATTTTTTTCTCAATTATTTATTTATTTAATTATTCATTCATTTATTCATTTATTCAATTATTTATTTATTCATTCAATTATTTATTTTTTATTTAATCAATTTTTAATTATTTTTAATTTATTTATTCAATTATTTAATTATAAATTAATTCATTCATTCATTTCTTTCTTTCTTTTTTTCTTTCTTTCTTTCTTTCTTTTTTCATTCAATTATTTATTTATTAATTAATTAAATTATGTATTTATTTTTTTATTTTTTTATTAAATTATTTATTTATTTATTTATTTATTAAATTATTTATTTATTTATTAAATTATTTATTTATTTATTTGTTTATTCATTTATGCATATATATTCATCAGGAGTCACCACAGCAGAATGAACCGCCGACTATTCTAGCATGTGTTTTATGCAGCAGATGCCCCTCCAGCTGCAACCCCGCACTGGGAAACTTTAATGCTTTATAATTTGCAATATTAAATTGAAAATGCACTACCCAAAATACAAAATGAGGATTTAAATGCTATCTGGCCTAATTGTATATAGATTTAGAGTTCAGGAAATACATTTTCATACTAACACTGAGCGGATGTTTAGCAGTAAGAATAACAAAAAAAGCAGCAAAGTGGTGAGTTAAATGTATTTTTACTGCATTGACACACAATTGATATGTTTTAAAATCTAATTTCAAGTAAAGGGCACCTATCATGCAAACATCACTTTTATAAGGGGTTTATAGGGGTAAAGCCCACCCACTATTGACCATCTCTCCCTCATTAGCATAAACAGCAGCCCTGAGTGAGGAGCAGCCGCCTGTTCATCAGCCATTAGAGTGTTTGATCTGTCACTATGGAGAAATATGCATTTGTAGCTCCGCCCTCTTCTGAAAAGAGCACAATCTCATTTAAATTTAAAGTGACAGTCACCAAACACCACAATTAAAAGGGTCAGTTTCAGAGAGACAGAGAACATTATCTGTGGGCTATTACGAGCTCAAACTGAAACACACACACTCTAGAGCAG